AAACCTATTTCCAAAGAACACTAAGGGACCACTTCAGGCCTTTACAGCCAACCACGTTGTGTTCTTTTTGCGGAGTTTCTTTCTTTGTAGGGCTCACAAACACTGTGGCGTTAGCTAACGACTTCTCACACTTACATCTCCACGAAGAGAAGGAGCCACGTTACTCCCCCTGCACCGACGGGAGCGGGGCAGAGAGGGCCGCTGTCCCGGGGCAGCTGGCGCATCGGGCTAGAGCACAGTGGCCGCGCCTCCGGGACGGCCCTGCCCAAGGCGCCAGCCGGCAGTGTGGCTAACCTTCCAGCTCGCAAGCAGGCACGAGAGGGAACATGTTTGTGACGGCCCTGCAGTGTTTGTGACACGCCATTTACCCCGTGGTTATCCGGGGAAAAACCCGTCTCTGGGGAGTGTCAGTATGTGAACAGAGAACCAAATCAAAACTAACTTTGGAGGCCTAACCTGCTGGCCTCGCCCCCTCCCCCGCCGTGTGGTGCCACCCGCCTGGTAGGCTGCTCTAGGCTGGGTGATGAGCGAAGTAGGCATTTTCCCTTTTGTCCCAAACAAATGCTATAACTTTCCACTGTTATCATAAATCCTCCTCTAATACCTTGAGGATTAGTTTTCCCCTTCAACAACGTCACGTCAGCCACGAAAATATACATTTGACTCTAATCCAGTAAATCTCTCCTCCACCAAACTAGCCATTTTTTAAAAAACTTCACATATTGTTTTAATCAACCTCCCTTGGCAAGTCCTTTAAAACTTATTTCTAAAAACCTCTAGGTCAGTTTCGCCTAAAGATATCTTAGCCACGTAACAGAATTCCCACTAACAACTCTGCAGCACAACAGATTTAGTGTTTCCACTAAAGTGGAGTGACATGGGCACTGTACTCGCCTCCAGGATAATGGATACACCAGGCAGTGGATTTGCATCCATTAGTTTTATTTTGTTCTAGTTTTATAAAAATTATGAAAACTACCGTTTGTTGCAGGTTAGCAGTTGTGCACTTCACATTGGCCTACAGAAAACCCACAAGGTAGATCCACTTGATATATAAGAAAAGGAAGTAATTGGTAATTGGCTGTAGGTATCAAGCCAGACAGTCACTGAAACCTAACGACCCTGGCAGTGAATGAGTTTTGGAGTCACCTTGTCCCCCCCAGGCCTGTTCAGGAGCCCAATTTCTTGTTCCTTCCCAGCAAAATTCGAATTGCGTCAGCTTGACAACCGCCAGCTAGCTGGGTGTTGCCGTCACACCCCTGCCCGGTGACCCCATGGCTCCGTCCCACGGTTCCCAAGGCCCCAGCCTTTGGCAGAAGGCACCATAAACAAGCCAAAGTCCCTGCCCTCTGGGAGTTTAGGCAGGCAGAGTCTTGCACTGCTTGGGTTCAAAGCAGAGGATGATTTGTGTTTTGAAGAGGGACAAGGTTCTGGGAGCCGTTTAGGAGCAGCTTCCTATATAATGTCTCCACATTTGTGTATCCCTCGCATTTTACATTTCCTAAGGAACTCCCAGGGAGTGTTTCTCTTTTAACAGAGGTGGTTTTCCCACAAAATGTGCAATCGGTTCCCTATGTAAAGGAGCTTGGTTTTCGGTGACTTGTCCCTGGGGAAAGGATGGTGAGGTCCCAGAGAGGAACGAACTTCAGAGCTGTTTAGGACTTCCGAGATTATCTAGTCTCGAGGAGACAGGCTCAAGGGAAGCAACTGGACTTTCCCAAGGTCACAGCTAGTAAGTGGGCGGCAAAGCGTGTACCCCGGCCCTCGGCTTAGGGCTGGGCCCTTTCTCTCCTGTCCGCCCCGCCCCGGCCTCAAGAACGCGCCCTCCACGACAGTGTTTATCTGGCCGCCACGCCCGCAGCAGGAACCCGGGATCAGTGAGGAACCTGACACCCCCGTCGGCGGCCGCCGAGCCCGCTCCTGCTCCGGACATCCCTACGGGAAGGGCAGGTCGTCGTCCGCCGCCCTGCCCTCAGCCAACCCCTGGGTCGCGGGGGCGGGGTTGCAGGCTCGACCCACGAGTCCCGGCCCCAAGACCCCGGGCAGAGTCCCGGGTGCACAGCGGCCGCCCCTCCCC